TCGTGAAATTACTTTAAATGGGCCTTTATAGGGCTGTTCCAAGGGACGTCGGACACTGTCTATCCTGACAAAAACGTGGCTACAAGACTGCAGATCTTTACTGATGAAGATTGGACGAGTGGCACCACGAGTATTCAGAGGAACAGGGCGCAAGTCTCTCATTTTTTCACGAAGTTTCTGTAAAAAATCAGAATGAGATGTTACAGGTTTAGAAAAAGAGTTGCGAAAAAATTCACCTGGAAGGCGTATCGAACAACCATACACCATTTCAACTGGTGTACAATCAATATCTTCCTTTAAACTTGAGCGAATGCCCAACAAAACTGTTGGTAAAACTTCCATCCAGCACTCAGTTAGGTGGCATTTAATTGCATTTTTCAGGCTTCTATGGAACCTTTCTATAGCTCCATTACACTTTGGATTATAAGCTAACGTCCTGGTTTTCTGTGTTCCCAAAAACTTAGTCAAGGAAGAAAAACGTTCAGATTCAAACTGACGACCTTGATCAGTTGTGAGAGTCTCCGGAACACCAAATCTGGCTATCCAACCAGCAAAGAACGTTTCTGCAACTGTGTCAGCTGTCTGATTCTGCATTGGAAATGCTTCAGGCCACCTATAAAAAAGGTCAATACATGTAAGTATGTACCTGTAATCTCTTGACGGTGGTAGAGGACCCACAATGTCTATATGAACATGCGAAAATCTGGCATTAGGAAGTTCATATTCTCCTAGAGGGGATTTCGTATGACGTCCAACTTTAGATTTTTGGCATGAGAGGCAAGTCTTGCACCAAAGCTTTATGTCTTTGGTCATGGATTTCCATACGAATCTCTTCTTGATGAGGTCTAAACCATGAAAAGTCTGAAAAATACTCCAACGAAAGTCTTTAGGAATGTGTGGTCTTATATCACCAGTTGAAATATCACAAAAGATCATTTTTGAATTTGGGAGATTCATAGGTTTAAGTTCGAGACCGGAATTAGACTCAAGTAAAGAGTGAAGCTCCGTGTCATTAACCTGTGCCTCCGCAATCTCTTCAAAATTGATATCACTTGAATTATTAAAACTAAAGGAAGAAATTCTCGAAAAGGTGCCAGCAACTATATTTTCACTACCGGGAATATGTCATAAAGTGTACTGACTAATAAACTCTAAATGTCGCATTTGTCTTGGAGAGCATTTCTCACTTTTTTGTTGAAATGCGTAAATGAGAGGTTTGTGATCAGTGTACACTAGAAAATGTCGACCTTCAAGCATGTGCCGAAAATGTTTGATTGCTGAATAAATTGCAAGCAATTCCCTATCATAAGTGCTGTATTTTTGCTCTGCAGCATTAAGTTTGCGAGAATAAAAACTCAAAGGCTGTAATTAATTGTTTACTTTTTGTTGCAAAACTGCACCAATAGCAAAATCTGAAGAATCTACAGCAAGAGATAAATTTGCATTTGGTAAGGGATGTGCTAGCAATACAGCATTTGCAATTGCATCTTTAACTGCCTCAAAAGCAGAAATTTCCCTGTCAGTCCAAATTAGAGGTGTTTTATCTTTTTTAGCTTTCCCCTTAGTTAAATCGTGTAAACAAGATTGGATTTTAGCTGCATCTTTAAAAAATCTGCGATAGAAATTTATTATAGCTAAAAATCTGCGTAATTGTTCTACAAATGTATGTAAAGGAAAGTCTCTTAAAGTTTTTACTTTTTCAGGTATAGGCTGAATACCATCCTTTGAAACTAAATATCCCAAGAAATTAACTTCATTAACACCAAAAACGCATTTTTCTAAGTTAATTATTAAATTGAAATCGTTTAAACGTTTAAGAACTTTGTCTAAATAAGATTTATGCTTTTCTTCGGTTTTAGAGAAAATGAAAATATCATCCAAATATGTTATACAACAATCTATGTCTCTTGAAACATTATCAATAAAACGTTGAAATGTTTGTGCGGCATTTCTTAAACCGAAAGGCATAAATATATATTCAAAAAGTCCAATTGGTGTGATAACTGCTGTTTTAGGAACATCGGAAGTTTCAACTCTTATTTGGTTATATGCTTTTACTAAATCTAATTTAGAAAATACAGTTTTTCCATCTAAATTACGCGAAAAATCCTGGATATGAGGTATAGGATATCTATCAGGAATAATTTTGGCATTTAAACGACGAAAATCACCACATATTCGGAATTCTCCATTTTTCTTTGGTACTAAATGTATCGGGCTTGCCCACGGGCTTTTAGATGGACGAACAATACCTTGCTTTATTAAATCGGCGAATTCTTTACGAACAATTTTTAATTTCTCAGGCGATAGACGTCTTGCTTTGGAAAAAACCGGGGGTCCAAATGTTTCAATGCAATGTGTCACACCGTAGTCTTGGCGTTGTGCATTTTGATTGAAACTTAAAATATTCGGATATTTGATCAAAAAAATAAGGATAACGGTTCTCTGATGAGACCAAAGTTAATCCAAATGATGGTCCAGGACATGAAATACCCTTAGAAAAAACTGTTGTCAAACTGTCAAGTAATCGACGATTTTTATAACATCGACCAACAGTCCGAAACGTTCCAAAAATCCCCACCAATAATAGGGCTTGACACATCAGCAATGAAAGTCGAACCTTCTACGCAAACCAAGATCTAGTTCTAAACGCTTATTGCCGTAAGTTGAAATTTTAGAACCGTATGCAGCATACAAATTTAATTCCTGAATTATGTTATTTTTTGTTAAATTTTTAGGAAAACTGCTGCGCCGCTGTCTACGAGAAATCTGAAACCAGATATTACATCATATACAAAAAGGCGACTGTGAGACTGGCTAACATCTGCCGTCGCTACATCAGACGAGCCGTTTAGTTTTCCGAAAATTGGCATGGTTGTATGCACTTGTGTGCTTTATTACCAAAACGATTATGATACCAACATAATTTACCCGTACGTAGATTGTCAGGAGTACGACTACGTGAATTTGAATGTCTGTATTGATGATTGCGACTTCTATCACGATTACGTTGTCTAGAGGATCTAGATAATCTCTCAACGTTAGCGCTAAGAACCGAAACTTCTTCACGCAATGATTGAAGAGTTAAATTATCCTGAGAATTTTTAACTTCAGATACCGATTGGAAACAAGATATTTCACATATCTTATCGGCAATTAAAGCTAGTTCATTAATTGGGTTTTTGCAAACAGACAAAATTTGCTGCACATGAACTGGCAAACGTTGTTGCCACAAAGTACGCAATATATCGTTGTTAAGCTTTTGGCAAGACAGATTTTGCGTCTCTAACAGAAGCTGTGACAGTCGTTTATCACCCAACTGCAAATCCTGTAGCAGCAATTTTAACCGAGCCGATTCTGATTGAGAAAAGGTTTCGATTATTTTGGCTTTTAAACTCTCATATGCATTGGATTTGGGAGGGTTACGAATTATATCTCTTATAGAAGATAGAGCCTAACTGTCCAAAGCGGAAACTACACAATGGTATTCAGTTTCATCGGTTGTTATTCCTGCTATCACAAATTGTGATTCCAATTGGTGGAACCAAAGCTCAGGCTCTGCTTCCCAAAAAATAGGTGCTTTAAAAGCAACACGAGAAAGTTCTAAATTTTTAGTGTCCTTTTCCTCAACAGACATCATAAATGTCTAGAATTACTTAATAAAGTTATTGAAAAGAGAAAAATAGTCTTACTGTCAATTATGCAAGACACACGTAAGAATTTATCAACAATTAAATTACCAGATTAGCCCTACATTTACTTAAGTTAAAATACTTTACTTAATCAAAAGAGGCTAACAGGAAAATGACAAACTTCAATCTTCACATAAGTCATCACAATCGGTCAAGAAAGAAAACCAAAATCTCACTTACTTTAAAATTTGAAATATCCATGAAAGTTGTTTCAACACACCACTTTAGTAGATAAAATTATCCAATGACTGGAAACCACTGTATTCCATATGTTGCTACTATCTTTCTTCGGTCAACCTTAGTAATTCACCAGGTCAATGTGGGGAGAGTAGTATTCAACTATGTCAACCTTCATCTATGAAAAGGTACCCCATCATAGAATCGAGTTGACACGTCTTATATACTACTGAATTGTAGTTGTAATTTTGTAGTGGTAGATACGCTACAGTACTCCCCCACCAGAATTATATCTGTGATAGAATTCGATGAACGAATACCACTAGTTGATTCATTGCTGCTTTGTGAGAAGCCGGGAGAGCTGTATTAAGATCACCGTATTTTTTGAGTGCTGAATGTGAGAGGTGTATTAACTTCACGGTCGTAATCGCTCCTGTGTTGCCGTTAGCAGTCGAGTAATCACAAGTATGCAAGCCGACGTTGTGCGTGATCGAGACGAGACTGAGTAGCAACAGTGCGAGGAGGTGGATAATGTCGCAGTCACAAGCAGCAAGTCAACTGTTCAAAGTGGACCATCCATCGAAGAGGGTGTTACTATCAAGATAGGCGTGTTCATATCAAAGTGGGCGTTACTGCCAAGGTAGGCGTGTTCACATCACGTCCGGGTCACCATTATGTGGGAACGAGGCATAGCGTTCCTACATTTTTACGGAACCAAAGACAACATCAAAACAATCACAAGATAAAAATAAACACTTTTATTTTCCGGGAAAATGATAGTGAATAATTACGACATCAGTTCAGCGAAGTCAGCAGTTGCAGTCAGTTGCAGTTAATTTCTGACAGCAGAAAAAATATCAGGATGAGATGTCGCAGGTTCCGATCTGCCGGTCTGATCTAGTGAACTCTACAGTACCAAAGTGGTTGAGAGAATTGAGCCCTACCGAAGAGCGAATGGTGGCTCTCCGAACTCCTTTCATGCAAATACGAGAACTGGGTGTTGATCTCCAGTTAGGGATAAAGGAATCCATTATTAACGTACCCAATGACCTGCACAAGACCGTAGATTGTCTTCCTCGCAATATAAATGATTCATTCACTATTCATGTAAAAGTGAAAAATATCCGAAAATGTTAATATTGATCTCGATTGGCTGTTCAATGTCTAATAAGTCATCAAAAGAATTTACACAGAATGTGTCTGAGTTGCATTTAAATATGTCTGTGGAATTGTATACCGAGCAGTTCAGAATTAACAGTTAAAGATGTCCAAGATAAAGACACAATAAAGTTGCTTTTCCAAAAAAAAAAATTAGACAACAACCATTTTGTCAATGGGTAATCCTTGATGTTCTTGCGGCAATCGTATTTTTTTAAAAATTTGTTATTCTTTTTATTTATTTTTGATTTAGTGTTCAGAAATTGCTTTTTTGTTTTTTTAATTGTGTTATGTGTTTTTTAAGTTTGATAGACATTCGCTGAACTTAGTTCGCCAATCAAATAAATATTTATATTTACTTAATAATAATTTTATATGGCTCTTAAGATATAATTAAAGCTAAGATATTTCTTTATTTTTTATAATCTTAATGTTTCTTTTTTTTCTTCTTCTTTTTTTTTTTTTTTTTTTTTTTTTTTTTTTTTTTTTTTTTTTTTTTTTTTNTTTTTTTTTTTTTTTTTTTTTTTTTTTTTAAATAAAATTTTTGAGATTAATTTTTATTGTTTATATAAAGTAAATAAAATATTTTTTTAGGTATGGGAAATGGCACAGGAAAGAAATATTTACAGTGTAATAGTTTCCGAGAATTTTGAGGGAATTAACTTCGGAAATCTGTTCATTAAAGATAGTTAATAGAATTTTAGGCGAGAGACATTTGTTGGAGAAATTAATAGTTTGCCCTTTTTGTAAGATGTCAGTCTGTGTACCAAGCTTGGATAGTAGTGAGAGCATTTTGGAATTTAGTAATGACCCTGTCAAAAGATTTTGCAGGGCAATAAAGGTAGGTGTCACCGGTGAACACAAGAATGTGGCGTCCTCTTTTATCCTAAATTTAAATGAAAAAATCTG